AATACTTTATACAAAAAAAAAGCCAACAATGGCGGCCGAGCCGAAGCGGCATCAGCATAGTGGAACCCGTTGCTTGTCACATAGGAGGCATGCGTGCTTTGGCCACGAACGCTCTTTTAAATGCGAGCCACGCCATTTTGGCTGCTCATACTAAACAAGTAGAATGCTGTTTCTTATGAGGACAAATTGTACGTAAAATGTAGTAGGTATCCGGATAAGTATTATATGTTTTTCAATTTATCTTTGTAAGATTAGTGACGGAAGATTTCCAGTCGGGTATTGACTACAACGAATATTGACGGTTAATGTCGCGAAGTTCCCGGACCTAGGAAGGAACAATAACCTAGGGGAATACACTAGTTTCACTTTTTTAAACGGGGAACTTTTTCATGCTATTTTCAAATTTTTGGCATTGCCTATCAATAATTGTCTATTATCAGGCTATTAATATTGCCTGATTCCAAAACGCAGTTGTGTAAAGACCAAGAAATGTTCAAACAGAACTAAACGCCATTCTTTTCAGTCAAAGTTTCCGATTATACCAAAAAAAAATTGATCATTATCTGTGCACACGACGTTTACCATAGACAACCCATAGACATTAGTAAATGAATCTTGTTATACACGTATATACTGGCTGTTCCACCGTTTGAACAGCAACGCATAACTGCTTCGCCATATACATGAACGGGATAGTGATGTCCACCCTAAGCCTTACCAAAACAAACCATAATATCAGCATAATTGCACTTTATAAATTTGCGGGTTTGATTTTAACACAATGTTATGTAGTAATTTTGGAACGAAGTTCCTTATGGGACGATACGGAGGGGTACCCTAACCGGGAAAAAACGTCCGTAACGCAAGATTTTTAGTAGTAATGCACATAGTGTACGACTTAACTTTGTAATAACGTACAAAAAATAACAATTTTTTTATCATTCATTGACCACGATCTCAGAACGTTCGTTTGCGCAATACACTAACTCGTATGCAAACAACCGTGACTGAAGTGTACCACAATAAGTTCGCACGTTGCCGAATGACCGTGGGTTGTTGCGAAACCTCCAGTTTTATTTTCTTTATACTTCGAATAGAACTTAAAATTAATATTTTTATAAGGAACCTCGTTCCTATCCGGTGTCCCACGACACCACACATCTTTTTTTTTTGCATTTTTTTATTGTTATCATATCATTTTGGAAGTTTCGAATCCATTACAGTTTTCGTGTTCACAGGCGAAAAACACAAAATTTAATGAGAAAAATAGTATTGACAATGTTATTTCTTTCATCGTTGTGGAAGTATTTTGTGATGAGCACGTGTTAAGTATATATTTTCTTAGAAAACTTGGTAACTCCTTGCGACGTTTGTACATCGGCATAGTCGTATCGCTTGATATGAGCTTACGGGGTATCTTACCCGTCCGACGACGACATTAAAAATCGTATCATATAAATAAATTTACTTTTCAAACTAGAAACGCTAACTATTTACATCCAATATTGCCTGTATGAAAATCGCCGATTTCAGAGATATTTCAATGAATTACTATTTACCTCAACTTAACACTTTCAGTGCGGAATAGGCCTATATCGACCCACCCCGGTACTTTCAGCTGGGGCGAACGAAGAAAACTACGTCCCTCTTGCTGGTGCCAACCGATTATTTCATATGATCTGACACCGATAACTATATACTATAAATTGTATACAGAATGTTTTCGCAAAGTTATAGCGTTTTACCACCTACCACGCACTGGTGGAAATATCATTGGGGGCGCATTTCGACCCGCCGCCGCACCAGACGACGTTGTATCACCAGGTATATGATTTTACTTGCCACAGCCAAGGTTTAAAATTCATACACTTTTAGAATCTTAAGTAGACCACAGTTTCCAAAAGATATCCCATACCCATGTGAAGAATCAGCGCTAAATGCTGTACTAACTTATCTTTTTTTCTATTCTTTTACTATTACTACGACTATTATTTCTTTGATTGAGACAAACTTGTAAGTATACGTATGTAAGTATTATATAAGTAATGAACTTCAATTAATTTTTGTTTTGGTACTTAATTATTAATTAAACTCATGTTGTCTCTACGTGCTCATTTTAATTAACTATCCTACGATTCTCAAAATTTACAACTTCAATACAAAATAGCTCAAACAATTTAAAATGAACATGAAATTAAAAGAGTGGATCAAAGGGAAAAAAATCAGCCGGAAACCGCAGCAGAGATAAAAATACAGTAGCAATATAGTATTTTTGAAGTGAAAACTTCTTTAGAATCGTTGTGATTTCAAACCGGATGCAACGGAAAAAACGACAGGTAAGAGACACAAATACAAAAATGTGTAGGATGAAGCCAGCAATGAATGAGACAGAAATATACATACTATTTAATACAGCGCCATCTGTGAGATTTTTTAATACTAACGTGTGTATGAAAGCTCTTGTAGTGAATTTTAATTTAGGATTATACGTGAAATTAAAATATCAATTCACAGAGGGCGCTACCTTACAATTATTTACTAATGACAAAATTTTACATATACTTAAGACGTTTAGGATAATTGTATTTTAATTTTGGAAGGTTTCACTTCTACCACGTGTGAATTGCACACATGTAATTTTTTTTTCTCTAAAATATCCACTATCTTCTTTAATAAATCATGATAAGGGCGCTCGTTTTGTATCGCAAACGGCAATTATCATTCGTTGCGCATTCATAAATGATCACGTTCTACATTATAGGAAATGATTTGGTCGAATTAAAGGTGTCGGCTCCAGTCAAATTATTTCAATAGGAAGTTTTTTTATTTTTTTTTTATTGCCTAGATGTGTGGACGAGCTCACAGCCCACCTGGTGTTAAGTGGTTACTGGAACCCATAGACATCTACAACGTAAATGCGCCACACACCTTGAGATAGAAGTTCTAAGGTCTCAGTATAGTTACAACGGCTGCCCCATCCTTCAAACCGAAACGCATTACTGCTTCACGGCAGAAATAAGCGGGGCGGTGGTACCTACCCGTGCGGACTCACAAGAGGTCCTACCACCAGTACAAGTGTTCGTATATCAAATTATAATTCTTAAATTGTTTAATTACAATTTTCTTAAACAAAAAACTTACTGTTGCCCAAATAAGTAACTGATTTTGGTCATAATGCAATATAATGGTATGCTGTTGCAATAATGCATATTACGGCACAAAAAAGAATAAAATAATGATTTAATCCATTTCAAAAAACATACTTAATTTTAATATAATAATTAAAAAAAACATATTTGTTACTCAGTCATACATCAATAATCCATAACATTTCATTCTAGGTATTCCCAGGACATTGAGTAACATATTTTTATTATTTAAGAGCCTTCACCATGAATACTACAAATTGACCGTATAATTAATTAACTTTTTTTTTTCTAAATTCTTTATAATTTATTTCTATTTCAACTTTATTATGTATTTCAATTAATAAAAAAAACCTATCTCTGGATCTCAGTTTTAATTAAAATGTGAATAGAACACAATGATCGGCGGGAATTTAAATTAAATAATATTTTTTTTGTTTACTTACAGATATTATTGTAACGAGGCGTGCTATTTATAAACAGTAGTAAATGATAAAGTTTTTTGCTCTGTAAATAGATACAATTAATTTTTTTATAGTCAGCTCGTGAATGTCAATAATGATATTATAAAATGTTTTTTTATACAGGTATACAGGTTTGTATTAATAAAATAGAATAATTCATAAAGCAATACAAAATTAGAACTGTGATAGTCGAAGATTACAACACAAATAGTAAAAACGGCTTGCAGAATATTTTTTGACAGTACATCCTATCATCCAATAGATTGTAGCTGATATAAGTTATTCTTGGTTTCATTAAAACAAATTAAGGCTTGTTGTAAAAATGTCAGTTAATTATATATTACTCAAAATTGTAGCGTTTATATTGTATTTTAATTTATTGATTAACAACATTGATTACAATAAAAGTCACGAAATCATACCTAATGCTCGTCAGATCACAACACGTTTTCAATATTTGTAAATAGAGTTGTCTAAACAAAAAGTAGACAATAGAATAAGTTCTACGATCATTTATTTAAATAATTAGGTTCATATTTAACAATGATATTTCTGTACTGAATATTTATGAACCGAAATTATATAATTCAGGTTAAGGGCGTGATTGAATTCACGAAACATGCTGTTTCAAGTCATTCAAATTATCTGCAGTGGTGCTTAGTAAAACTAATGTCTACTTATTTAATATACATATTGAGTAACCGTAATTAGATCCTTACTTTAAAATTTTATTTAAAAATACGGTTTTCCATGTGATTTGGCTGTCGGAGAATGCAAAGAAAAAAAGTTTGATTACTGCGCGCGATATATGCAGTAACATTGTTACTTTAGGAAGTGATCTACTGACACAGATCAAATGTTTTAGTTCATCGTTTCAAGCCTGCAACTTTCGTAATTTGGCCTTCCTTATCGCTAATAGTCTCTTCCTGAATTAGTTTATCAATATAGTAGTAAAATGTTCAACTTAGATGGGTATTTGATTTTCTTTTTTTGAGTTCGTAGCTACACTCAAATTAAGACTTAAGTAAAATAATTGTAGTTACAAAATTAAACGTGTCATTTGGTTTTTAGATAAATGACCACTTTAAGATATAATTGAAACTGCTTTTCCGGTTTAATCTCTCGTTTATTATTTAAATTGAAGATAGTAAAATAATTCATTAACAATTAAATTAACTCGCACATATTAAAGTATTTTTTTTAATTACAGCGGATTTCTAATTTTAGTTAGTAATTATGTATATGATATAAACACATGAGAACTTCAAATTTCATTTTGGACCCGGTTTTGTTTTTATAGCCAATTTACTGTCATTCTATTATTAAAAGCGGCGTTTATAACCTCTACCATTAAAACCAGCGAATACAATAAAATTAACGTAAAACTCACGTTTAGACAATATTAACCGCCACCCGCTCAACATTTTGTTTGTTTCACTAATCCACAATAACCACTATGAACCATAGGTATGTGTAAGTCACAGAGTTTGTACGCGTGTTTTTGTGAAGGCTTTAGCGCGGTCGTTTGCGTACTGCGAGACACGCGGTACGGCTTGCAATAAGGCGCCCGCGGACTTGTTGCCCGTCTATATAGTGTCCACCGGCGAAATCTAGCTTGGACTACCTGTTTCATTCGATGTCCTGATGCAGGGTATGGGGCTAAGCAAAGAATATTTATTTTAGGATTTCTTTGGTACATATCTAGAGCTTTAAAACACTAAATTTTACCGTGTTTCTTTTTGTGCTCTTATACCTATGTAATTGTTTTTTTTGTTATTATTGATAATTCTGTCTGTATTCTTTAATATTTTCTTAGACTTTCTGGTGTCTTTTTAAGGGATTACAAATAGTGTTCAGTAACGGATTAGTAGTTAGGACTCAAGTGTCTCTCCTCCTCCTCGCGTCGTTTCCACACTGCTGAGGGTCGTGACCATTATATGTCGACAGGATTTTGCTCCTTGTAATGTCCCGCCAGCGCCTCCGATCATTGGCCGCATGAAGGGCGTCGTGGAATGGGATCTTTTTTTTTTTTATTGCTTAGATGGATGGACGAGCGCACCGCCCACCTGGTGTTAAGTGGTTACTGGAGCCCATAGACATCTACAACGTAAATGCGCCACCCACCTCGAGATACAAGTTCTAAGGTCTCAAGTATAGTTACAACGGCTACCCCACCCTTCGAACCGAAACACATTGCTGCTTCACGGCGGAAATAGGCGGGGTGGTGCTACCTACCCGTGCGGACTCCCAAGAGGTCCTACCACCAGTGAAAATCTCTAGTGTGGTGCGGTGATCAAGTGTCTCTACTCATAATTAAATATAACCAAAGATTACTAACGCCTAGTATTCATTTGAATAATTAAATAACGTGTTTAGCTCTTTGTTATTTTACCTGTCTACTTACATGATTTTATTGCTTATACCTTTTTTATGTATGTATTCCATATGTACCTCTCGGATTTTTTAGTTTAGTTTTCGTTAATTTTCCTTTGTAATTAATGGTAATTATTAATATATTATAATTAATTATACGGTAAAAGTGTCTACTTTGTTCTCGCCTATCCGGAAATACCAAACTTATTTTATTTGACATGACTGCCTGATTGAATTAGTGCGATACACATGAATGAGGTTTGTCAATTAATGGTGGTAGGGCGTATTGTTAGGCTGTATTGGCACCGCTATTTTGCCGATTTCTGCCGGAAGCAGTCATGCGTTCCTTGTGGGACAGACAATTTAACTCGAAATGGTAACCACATCGCATCAGATAAACTGGATCACCAGTAGAGTCTTGAACCTCGTCCACCATAACAATCTATAACTAAAAGATCTCATTCTTTTGTCCAAATTATATTATTGTATTATATCGTAACTAGACTTCACTTTTATTACTTGTCACTTGATTTGAGTTCATCGTCATCATCTGGCTGTCTGAAACCTCTTCAAATACAGTTTGTCTCCAGAGCTATATTTTCCTCATGAGTATTAAATCATGTTGTACAGTGAACTGGCGTTCCCTCAGATCAATGACTCTTCTTGTCAGTGTTCAGAATCTTGTGCCTTGAAGAGAATACGTTTCGGTATATAGATTCTCTGCTCTTAAGGGACATTTCGTCTATTTAAGATAGCAGCAAAAAAAGCGGTCTGTATGAAGATTTATGACCAGATTAAATGACCAGAGCTTGGATGAAACGTGGTCGTAATCTTAAGAAATAGAGATTTTTATTTCATCAACTTCAGAGTTTTATTAAATGTAAATTTTAATATTACATTGATTTGGTATCACGCATGTTTCATATCTTTATCTAAGACTAGCGACCCGCCCTCGCAAAAACTTTGTATCCCTTTTTACGAATTGCGCGGACGGAGGAGTATGAAATTTTCCACATTTATAGAGAATATAGAGAAGAAGTGCACAAAGCTAATGTTTTTTTAAATAATGCATAAAATATACATTAAATCAATAAGGAAAACATTACACACACTACATACCATGTATTTGACGCACACACGCATGCATACTATTTATTGTCAAACTTTTGTTCTTGACGTCTGTGGTCAAATTGAAAATAGATTAAATATTGTTTGTCTTTATTAATATTTTTTATAGCCTTGGCGAAATTTGTGATTATAGAAGTATAATAGTGTACAAACTTACAATTCCAATTAATTATAGTCGAATTTCGACTACTGCGGGACCTCTAGTATGTTTAGATGCATATAGTAAAAAGCGGTTATTTCAATATTACAAACAGACACTCCAATTTTATTTATATGTATAGATTACTTTTGCCTATTCCAGAAAATGCCAGTTTCATGCAATGTCAGTTTTCCAGTCAAACAAAACTTTATAACCAGCGCACATTTTGACATTTATGTAAGCGGTCAAGTTCAGTGTTCATAAGTGTGTTTGTTTATGTGACGTAATTGTATTTCATGTTATCGTTATGTAGCTCGCGTAAGTATTTTTTAATAGATTAATTCTTTCGCACCATTTCGTTTTTATGGGTAATTTCTTTTTCTTTTTCTTTACGAATAGAACGACAATACTTTTAATCCGTGACTTCACCTCCTCAACGCCCCACCCATGGAACCGGAACACACTGCTATACGGCAGAAAAATATTGAATAGCGGTAATTAATCGTGGTTGTCCACAATATGCCCTATCTAACGTCATTTCGCAAACGCTGTGGGTTTTGTGTTTCTTAAAAAAAAACTATTCTTTCATTTCGGAAGTTGTTCGTTAGTTAAGTATTCTAGTATTTCTTAGAAATCGGTTCCTTAAACATAGACTATAGGATTTGAACATAGGCACAAGCCCATCGTTCGATACGAGGACAACGGACTTCTTATCTTTTAGGTCACGGACGCACACGAAGTGTACTGTGAAATGGTTTCTTAAAGTGATTGCCAAAGTTTTTGGCCGAGAAACTTAGTTACAGCCGCCTTATCAGCTATTAATAGCTTGTCATCAGCGAGCACAGTATCAATATTATTACCTATTTTAGAACTTAGCTCCTTAGTTTCTAAGCCTAGTTCTTGTCGTAGTTATTAGCTAGGACTTTTGTAAAAAAACCGGTTCCCCTCCGTATATCGGTTTCGGGATTGGCGAGGAGAGCTAAGAAGACGACACGTATGCTGTACATGTGTCTTGCGAGCAACCGTGTGATGGTTGACCGTACTCCCCAAAGACGACCGCTTCGACGTCCTGTTGAGGCGGAGTAGAGGGGAGATATGTGCTTTGCGAAATGATTTATTCTACCCCCAGCCTGCCACGAATGTGTTCTGCCTTAACCGAGGCACTAACTAGGGTTGTTGAGCAAACTTGGGGCTTTAGTCGGTTCAATCCCAACATACCCTACCCTGCATAGGTGGAAGATAGACGATTTCTTTCTGCCCCAAAAATAGCGGTTTGTTAGAAGCCCGTAAAAGTGAGAACCAAAATCCTTAGCAGTTCTACTGCGAATCCATTATGCGTTTCCATTTGAAATGTAGGTAAAAAAGTTTATTAGATAAAGAAGTCTATATTAACAATCTTAATTCTTACTGGTGGTAGGACATCTTGGGAGTCCGCACGGGTAGGTACCACCGCCCTGCCTATTTCTGCCGTGAAGCAGTAATGCGTTTCGGTCTGAAGGTTAGGGCAGCCGTTGTAACTATACTGAGATCTTAGAACTTATATCTCAAGGTGGGTGGCGCATTTACGTTGTAGATGTTTATGGGCTCCAGTAACCACTTAACACCAGGTGGGCTGTGAGCTCGTCCATCAATCTGCAATAAAAAATATAAAATAAAAAAAATCATATTTAGGTACATAATATTAATGTTTTCTGGTGGTAGGACCTCTTGTGAGTCCGCGCGGGTAGGTACCACCACCTTGCCTATTTCTGCCGTGAAGCAGTAATGCGTTTCGGCTTGAAGGGTGGGGCAGCCGTTGTAACTAAACTTGAGACCTTAGAACTTATATCTCAGGGTGGGTGGCGCATTTGCGTTGTAGGTGTCTGTGGGCTCCAGTAACCACTTAACACCAGGTGCGCTGTGAGCTCGCCCACCCATCTAAGCAATAAAAAAAAAATTCTAAACATTTGACTTCGGCAAAGATTGTTTTGCTTTAGAACACACCTCCCCCAAATCCTGCCATAAGTCCTGGTCGTGGCATTTCCTCTTCCACGTAGAGCCCGCAACGACCTCTATGTCGTCTACCCACCTTTGGAACGGTCGTCCTTTTAACTTTTTCCCCTTTTGAGGTTACTAATTTATCCCATTTTTAATACGCTTTTATTATTGATAGCTTCAGTCGTATGTTAGTAAGTAACGGAATCTTTGAACATGATTTTTCCTGAGATCCGGAGGGAGTGTCTGCGTCAAGACCAAGAATGGAAACTACCAGGCGCGCCGATCACCTATTTCTCGGATAAGTTATCAACCGATTCAGACGAAATTTCAAAGATAAAAAAAATGAAATTCAACAAAAAACGAAAAATAAATAATAGTTCAATAAAACTAGAAAAATACGCTTTTATAGAAAATCCAATAAAAAAATAGAAAATAAATTTTAATAAATTTGAATTAATAATAGTGTAAGAAAAAATTATTTAATTGTAAAAAAGCGTGAGGCACATGGTATCAATAGTTATAAATATTTTATGAACAGATATGAGTTATTTCGATAATATCCTGAAAACCACCTTTCATAAAAGCGTATTCTTTTTGTTTTTTTTAAACTTTATTTATTCTGTTCTATTCTTATTAAATGACCTATCCATTTCCACATTTTTTTTATTGTGTATGAGACATCCGGTATTTTTTGTTTTCTTTGAATATCTTTTAATTTTATTTTATCCTTTCTTTTAGCATTTAACATGCGTGTATGTGATGAAATAAATAAAATAATCTTAAACGATATTCAAATCAACCTCTCAACCTTACGAAAACATTTGATAACGATTAAATTCATGAATGTAATTACGTTCATAATTTCTCTATTATCTAAGAGTATAGGAAGTGGGTCAGCCCTGTCATGTCAGCACGGCGACATT